GACGTTCAAGATGCCACACTTCGACATCTGCAAGTTCGACGACTACAACAAGTCGGACGCTTTGACATGGTGGCAACGTTTCCTCACGAAAGCGTCATGCCGCACTGTCCCGACGAACGACATGTTGAAGGCACTCTATTTGCAACTGATTGGAGGAGCACAGGCATGGATGAACCACCTGGCGGCCACCCACAAGTGCACCATCGCCGAACTCCACACGCACATCACGTGAAGGAGTTCGAGCAGCTATGGCTCACCCGGTTCATGGTCCGCAACGTCGTGAAGGCGGCCATGAATGAGGTGTACACATGCTCTCAGGGGAACATGCCAACTCGAGACTGGACAACGAAGTGGCAAAAGATAGTGACCACGCCAGGATTCGATTTGAGTTTCTCAAATCAACGATCCGAGTTCTTCTCGCGATCGTGCGCGTGATTGCGGTCGACACTCGGTAATGAGTACGACTATACCACATTCCAGGCCATTCTGGATCGAGCGAACTTGGTCATCCAAACGGACGACAAGGCCGCTAACGAGAGACAATCCTAGCCGCATTATGTGGCTAAGCAGGCCTATCAACGTCCGACACATAACAATGCCGTAATTTCCGAGGAAACCGACGACCACCACGCTGCAGCAACATCCTCGGGTGATGGAGGAATTGTCGCAGCGCTCCCGCTGAAGCGTCCCAAGAGAGTTCGTAAGAACAAGGCGACACAAGAGACGGCAGCGACGGGAGCTGGGCAGCAGCCATGGACGGCATATAAGATCACCAAGGAGGTCTATGACCTACGTCAGAAGTACGGATAATGCCTTTGGTGCAACGGAGTCACTCATGTGACTGCACAATGCCCCGAAAAGGGCAAGGCACGCGTACCCCGTCCAACAAACTCGGGAAACTGAGTTACGCAAGGAGAGGGGCGACGTCTCTCCTCACTCCGCCGGACCCGGTTTCCTTGCTAGCAATCGATGTCACTACCGGGGAGCATGCGTTAGTCGCTGATTCTCGTGCTACGTACGAGGATTATGCCGCCCAGCTGGTACCACCATTAGACCAGCCTAGCCACGTGCATGTAGATTGCGTATGCGCAGCCTGTACACCGTCGGCAAGTGATCCGGTCAGTTCGCCACTGTTTTCCGAGGACTCGACGGCGTGGTCAAGACTTAAGGAGCTTGACCCGCTCACGAGAGAGGATTTCGCTTGGATACCTCTACCCTCAAATGGAACATTGCCAAGGCCGCATGGCAACGCCTTGATGGCAAATCTACGCTCCTACTTGCACACTACAGTACCAGCTCCGTTGACGGACGACGGGGTAGCGGTTGCCGATCTCCGCTCCTATCTTGCGAAGATCGACCGCGAGCACGCCACCCAAAGGTACGCCGAAGCCGACGCACCTTTGCTTTATCTCCGCATTCAAATCGAAAAGGCAACCTGTAGTGCCGTGATTGATTGCGGAGCGTCTCGCAACTTCATGAGTCAAGCCTTTATGGCCCGCGCAGGTCTTGGCCCGCGCGTTCGAAGCAAGACGCAACCTATGCAAGTTACACTCGCGGACGGCCGCACGCAAAAGTCAATTGACCGATGCGTTGACGGCGTTCCGGTCTACTTTGCGCCACTTGCGTGCGAGCCGGTGTCTTTTAACATCCTCGACACCAAGTTCGACATGATTCTAGGCATGTCTTGGTTGCGTAGCGGCGATCATCCGGTGAACTTCCATGACCGAACCGTTCACATCCGTGATCGGAACGGAGTGTTAKTCCCATGTACGRTCRCGACCCCTCACACTTCGATTGCTTGTCACGTGGTTTCCGTTGCGCGGATTCGCGACGCCATTGCTCGGAATGACGTCGAGGAGATGGGCCTTGTATTCTTGCATGCCCTCCCCTCGCCGGACGGACCAGCTGCGTCACCGCCAGACCCACGCATTTCTCACCTCTTGGACGAGTATAGAGACGTCTTCGAGGCTCCCACCGGAACGGTTCCGGATCGGCCCATACGTCACGGGATCACTCTCGAGGTTGGCGTCGTCCCTCCGCGTGGATGTATCTACCGCATGAGCGAAGAGGAACTCGAGGTGCTTCGCACACAACTCGATGATCTTCTCAACAAGGGTTGGATTCGCCCTAGTTGCTCGCCATACGGTGCACCTGTTCTCTTCGTCCGGAAGAAGAACAAAGATCTACGGTTATGCATCGACTATCGGAAACTTAACGCACAAACCGTAAAGAACGCCGGCCCTCTCCCTCGGATTGATGATCTCCTTGAGCGGTTAGGCGGCGCGGCGTACTTCTCGAAGTTGGATTTTAAGTCAGGTTACCACCAGATTGAAATCCAGCCTCAAGACCGGTACAAGACCGCGTTCAAGACGCGGTATGGGCATTTTGAGTGGGTCGTCATGCCATTTGGACTCACCAATGCCCCCGCAACGTTTCAAGCAGCGATGACGACTGAGTTTCGCGACTTGCTCGATCGCAGCGTCCTCATCTACCTTGATGATATCTTGGTTTATAGTAGGACGTTGGACGAGCACATCGTACACCTTCGCGTTGTTTTGAATCGTTTGCG